GATCATATAATAAGGAGAGATATGGTTCCATAGGGTCATATATATCTACCTCGTATGAGCAACAATTTCTTCATTTTTAATACTATAATACAGTGTCACGCAATGTATACATACGTACTTTTATGCCACATTACAGGCCCTCTAATTTGTCCATAACCATTTCCTTTAGTATGGTTATAGTTATATATATATATATATATNATATGTATATATATATATAGATAGATAGATAGATAGATAGATAGATATACTTAAATATTCTGCAGCATAGTTGGCCCCCTAATTCACTTCCAGAAAATATTCGGTTCTAGAAAATCATGGTTCCTCACAAATTCGTTTCAAATTTAAGAAAAAAGGCATAATTTAATAAGTTTATATTGACAGCAAGACTCTAATTTTAAAGTGAAAATTAATAGAAGGGAATTTGTTATTTAGAAGAATATTGACAACACATTTTCAGTTTTTTAAGTATCATACAAACCCAAGAGAATAACTTTCTGCATAAATAAAAATGTTCTTGTTTTGGCAGCCAAAAGCACAGTTAACAAATTTAAATTTAAAAAATAACGTTATCATATCAATTTTAGGAACGTAATTGCTTGCTTCTAATTCAAAATATTAATGCTCTTAAGAAAGTATTAAATGATTAGGGTGCATTTAAAAATCATGGGTTAGATCATCCAATTTATCTTCATATCAATATTTTCAGATTATTTCCAATATACATACTCTGCTTCATGTTCCATATTATTACTAGCAATAATGTTTGAAAACAAAAAAAAATGTTTACGGGTCGTCTTAAATAAATTTCAAATCAATATTTATTACAGAAAAACCAATTAAATGCGTGATTAGATTTTGAGTACCGACGGCTGCCTCTTTCATCATATTTCTCATACAATGCATTTCATTGTATACATTCTGAATGTGAAAAATTAAATTAAATTATTATAGAGAGGCAACAAATTAAATTAATAAAAATTAAACTAATTTATTATTGCCAACAAATAGAACTAATCAAATATGAGTAACGACTAAAACTAATTTATTGCAGGTATCGACATTTATTTTATTTTATAACCGTCGTTGAACATCCGACCCAATTTTTTGAGTTTACGACTCCTATGTTCAACTTTGAAGCATCGTAATTTTAAACCCAATCCGGAAGACAAGGGAACTCCTGGATCAAGTGTTGGGTGAAATTCGCCTTTAGGGAGGACTTTATGATGGAACTAAGCTGCATTTGCGTTATACGGGGAGGGAAACCACTAAAACGTCCCATAGTTAGCTCGACGGCAAGGGGACTCAAACCTACTATCCGTCTACCACTGAGGATATGTTATGTCTGCCCTGTGGTCGGTGCAAGCTGGATGCGGAATTTGTATCGATCAGCCTTCGCTGGGATTCGAACCCAGTTCACCTCATCGGAAAGTGAACGCTCTATCCCCTGAGCCATCACGGTTCATTGGTAACGAATTGAATTAATTCATGAAAGGTAACAAATTAAACTAAGGAAACTTATTGTAGCTACAAATTTAATAATTTTTTCATATTACAGAATGGTATTACGCATTCAAGAAGCTCGCTCCTCATGAGAATAGGATTCTTGGACCATTTGACTTCGGTTCCATCATGATGTATGGCAGCAACGCATTCGCCAAGAAACAGGGTCAATACAGTTTTACAGACAAGAAGGGCGGATACGTAAATGATAAAAGGGACACAATGTCTTGGGGTGATGTCAACAAGATTAAAAAGCTGTATAACTGCTAAAAGTAATTGTTGAATTGTATATAATATAATAAACAGATTTTAATTTTCCATTTGATTGTTAAATACATGTATCATGTTTTGCACACAATGAGGTGTTTGTTTGAATGAGTACTGAAAGGCCAATTGGTTTTAAATAAGAAATTTCTTCTTTTTTGATTTAAATGTTTTAATTGAGGAATCAAAAATGAGGAATAAAAGACTGATTCAAAAAATTTTTTCCTTGATCTTTTCCTTCCGGATACAGCTCGAAATGCGTGTTCGGGAAAATGGACATAGCTCGAAATGCATGTTCAGGAAAATGGACATAGCTCGAAATGCGTGTTCAGGAAAATGGACATAGTACGAAATGCGTGTTCAGGAAAAATGGACACAGCTCGAAATGCGTGTTCAAGAAACTGGACACAGTTTGAAAAGCGTGTTCGGGAAAATGGACATAGCTAGAAATGCGTTTTCAGGAAAATGGACACAGATCGAAATGTGTGTTCAGGAAAAGGGACACGGCTATTTAAGAATAGTTATATCATTTGATTCCGTTTTTCATACTTCCCTCATAAAAATTGCGTGTGTGTGTGGTTTTCTTATGGAATAAAACTAATGGATCCGAATATGATCTAGTCCATTGGCGAAATCACTTAGTACAAACGGTAAAAACAACAAACTTTAGAGAAAATTACAGATACAGTTCAAATGGACTATTTTACTGAAAAAAACATAGGACACGATGGAAATAGGTAATAAATCAAAGAAAAAATTGGTAAGACACATGAAAACAACCCGAAATAGTGATCGATTGAACTATCTATTCTGAGAAGAAAAAAAACTTAAAGCAAAGAATAAATAAATTCAGTTTGAAACTAGTCCAGATATAAAAGGAGAAATATATTAGACAGAAAGAGTAATATTTCGCAGGTTCCTTTTTAGATTTTTCAATGTGAAATGATTTCACCGTAAACCTTTCTTGGCATAAACGATTTTATTTAGATACATACTTATGCCACGGCACAAACATGAAGTATATAGAAAATAATAGTAATCACATAATCAAAGAAAACTTCGCGCTCCATCATAAAACATTCTAGTCTTCTCACACCAAGCTAAAACAAAAAAAAAAACCTCTTCCTTTTTCTTCTTTATTTTTTTCTCAAGTTTTGTTCGTATCTCGCAGCGCCATCTATTGGCAACGATTCTTACAGAAAGCAAATTACGAAAAACAAGAAGGAAAAGTTAAATAATAATCTAGAGAAATTACTCCACAATAATGCTTCGGCATAGCTAAGGGCAAGAATTATAGCAAACAATACATCCAGCAGAACGGAACCCTAAAAATAACAAAATTGGAAACAATCGAAACTATATTACAACATCATTTTGTACTTATCTAAGACTTCGTTCCGGAGAAAACAAATCAAAATTTAGATGAAAATGAGATTGCTGATGTGATCAACAAAATTAAAAAGCAATAAAACCTCGGGTTTGGGCAGATTACCCTCAGAGCTCACTGTGTCAACTTTTAAACATGAACCAACATGGTTTAAGTACATCATAAACAATTGTCTAGTTCTTACTACTTCCCATTAAGTTGGAAAATAGCCAGAAAAGTTTTCATCCTAAAACTCGGCAGCAATGAAAACACTTATAAATAGAATAAAAACTGTTGAACAAGAAGGAAAATATACTTTGGGAACTCCATTGAACATGAAAGGAACATTCGATTGTGTCCTCTGGAAAAATACTGTCGAATAGCTGAAACCATCGAACTTCTCGCGCATGATCACCAATTTAATTAAAAACTTCTTAAATAACAGATACACTATTTATCTCATAGAGGAAGAAACCATAAAAGAAAAACTTTCAATAACAGAAGAGCAGGGATCTAACCTTGGACCAATACCGTGGTAACTAATTACCAATATTCGACCAAAGAAAGCAAGATCACCAAACGAATCTATAGTTTCATTTGTAGATCTCTTGTTTTTACAGTAATAGACAACATGGGTCCAGATGTGGCAGAATTATTCAAAACAATTCCGAGAATGGGCAAAGAAAAAAAAATTTGAAATTCAGTGCAACTGAAACCTTTGCTACTGTATTTCCTATGAAGAAACGTATTACAAGAAAACCAACAGTTAAACTGGATAAGGAAAGAATAAATATTTTGCAGATCATTGGCTATCTTGAATTTAAACTTAACTGTCAGCTCTCCTGGTTGCCTTATATGGATAACCTTTACATCTAAGTTACTGAATTCCAAACTAAACTCAATAGAATTACAGTAGGCTGAGGGATTAGTTCTAACATCAGAAGATTCATAAATTACTATAGCTCCTTAAGATTTATTCTCGATGGATCAGAAATAAATATTACCAAATATGAAGACCTGGCAAAATTCATGAGTTTTTAATTTTTTCAAATTATAAATGGAAATGTTATTGATGTATATCGATGCTATATGTTGTACTAAATTTATGAATGAAATGTTGTATGTGTGAATGTATGATGTATGTGTGAAATGTTTTTCTGATTTATTTGAAACTGATTAATTTTGGTTTCAAATGCGCACTTCAATATAATATTAATACATCTAAGAAAAAAATTTATGTAAAAATCATGTCTTTAAACTAGTAACAAACGATAAATAGAAAACTTTGAAAAGGACTTCAATTACTCCAGTAGTTTATATACTATTATAAATAATTCGAAATCAGTTAAGCATATATTTTGTAAGAAATATTATTAAAGATGCCAGATTTCAATGATAATTCAGATGCCAGAATCAAATTTTAAATAAATGACTTTTTTAAAATTCTATTTTTCAGGAACTATACAACCGATTTTGTTCAAATTTTGTACTTTGCCATGAAAAATTAAATACTTTAAAATACTCTAAGAAATCGTGTACCTTACAATTTTAAATTTTTTCGGCCATTGCTAAATAAAATAATAAAAAATAGTAAATATTTACTAAAATTCATTTCTTTGCATTGATTTATCTTTGGATAAACGAATTTTATAATTTTGTGTGAAGATTTTTCAATTCGTGTCGAAATACGCAATAAATAAAGTTAACATTATTGTGTCCAAACTTTGTATCGTTCTCTTGACCAAACTATGGGAACCAAATTTCCCAGATTGATTCGTGATGTATCAACCGCTTTTTTAAATTTGTTTATTTGTGTTTGTGAATATTTTATTCCGAATGAAAATGCATCAAACAAGCCATTGCTGTATTATTTTTCAGAAATTCTTTATTTTGTCCTAAAAAGTTAACAGTTAAAATAATTTGTTAAAACATTATTCCCTCTTGTCGCAGTCGTACAAGGTGTTTATTCGAAAGATGTCACTTTCACTGAGTTTTCCTTTCGCAATAACATCCAGGATCTTGATGTGCTTCTTCCTGGCTTTCATTGTCTTGGACCAACCGTCCTTCGAAAATGTCTTCTCGCCGTACAACATGATGGAATTATAATCGAACTTATTTATCAGCCTGTTATTCTGAGGTGGGTGTTTGTCGAATTGATCAAGTGCATCTGGAACAGTTATGGTCATAAGAATTATTGTGACATTTTTAAAAAATTTAAAAGATATTAAAATGTCCATTTTTGTTATTTAAATATTTAACTGTCTCCTCAAAAGTGAGTTTGGCATAATGAAATGAAATCAAATATATTCTGAATTGAGAGGTAATATTACCATTCCCTTTTCCAAAATCAAATTTTTTTGTTAGCTTTTTTTTTGAAGAAGTTACAGAGAGCAATAAATATTTTAACACGCAGCTTATCTGTATCTTTAAACATTATTCGCGTTTCCTGTGAGTAAAATTTTTTTATCTTCGTTTTTTTGATACAATTTAAACTATTTATCCAATTTTCATTTTGTTTCGGACCGTGGTAGCCCGGTGGTTAAAGAATCGGAATAAGGTTCGAGGTTCGATCCTCAACTCCACCGAGACCCGTTGAGTACATACGTCAAACGTGCTCATAAAATCGAAAGCCGTGTGGTCGGTCTCCTAGCAGTGCCATCATCTAGATCGGCAGATCTAGCACAGCTGGAGAAAATTTTCTTCCCCTTTAGATCTGTGTTTGAATTGAGGAAGTGGCCTCACGAATGAGTTGTGCTGCCATCTATCTGCGAAGTTCTGAAGACACCCGTTCAGCCTTGCGGTACTCGCTTGGCACACGAAAAGCGCACATTCCTTGGCTTAACTCTCAAAAGTCTAATGGCTGTCGAGTTTGGCCTGTACAAGCATCATTAGAAATAACAGAACATTTTGCTTCCACGAGATTAAAGAATTCTCTGAAATGCAGTGTGTAAATTTCATTACATTCTTATATTTGAATTTTTTCACTCTTTTAATGTACATTTTTTCTGTTTATTAAAAAAAGTGATTTTAACATATTATTTTGCATGATTTTTTATATATTTAGATCATATTAAGTTTAAATTAAAAAGCGGAAATTTATGACATTTTCATTTAAATATTAAACTGGTAAATTAAAGGATATATTTTATTGTAAACCTACAATAAATTTTCATTTACCTTTCATTTTATCGTGAGTATATTATGCTTTTCTATCAGCTTAGAACTGAAAAAATATTTGTCTCTTGAACCATCATTTAAATTTTCTGTAATCTTAACACGGTGTCAAATTGAATCATTTTTTCATCAAAGTTGAACCCCAGTATCATTTAATAAAATTTAAGAAAAAGTTAATTAGAATGAAATTACAATTCATCGTAGAGTAATATTAAGAATGTATCTTATTTGGACCATATCATGGTTTAACATTATCTAAAATTTCTAGCCATGTGCTGAAAATACCATAGAAATGATAGAAGCGTTCAGATGACGCAGCCAGAGCCACCGTCTGTTTGACTATATTTAAAAAATGATATCTTACAAACAAATGGATACTCCTTAGATTTTAAGTGCATTTAATCACTGATACTGATAATAACATGGATGTGAATTTCAACCATAGAATATATCTCGCGTCCGAATTTGTCTGGGCTTCACGATACCTAAATAAGCCTGAAAACTTCTTAGGCGTTATACTTAGATTGTAACACGGTTTCATCAGATTAATCTGATTTCGTAATGTTGAACGTTACGAAAATTAAATAAACGTAATATTTTCCGCAGTGTGCTGTACCGCGTACCTTTGAACCCACTTCAATTTATCACTTACCAGGTATTAAGCACTGAATTTGTTCAGTGATTTTGAAGCATGAAAATGCACGATAGGTTGGGTCTCTTTGCCTCTCAACCTCCCCGGCCCTTGCAATATAATCGATTTCAGCTCTTGTGCCACAAAATATAACATTCAACTTTAGACAACGAAAGTCGAGTTGAAACAGGTTGCAAATATCTTTCGTAAGATACAAAAACACAGATTTTTCTAACCTGGCCAAATGTTTTGCCAATAAATTATGAGGTAATCATCTCTGTCTGATCTGTTCTGTTCATGGTCAAATCCAATTGCGTGAGTCAGCTCATGAATTATAGTCCCAATAGGCTCACAACCATAACCTAATGAAACAGGTTGGATTTTTCCAGTTGCACCCCAGTAAGAATAGCATCTAAAACATATAATTTAATTTACAGATGAACAGTATTAAGAACCATAACTGAGTAATTGAAAATAACTAATTTACCCATCGCCAGGAAATATCTTAATGTATCCTCGTATAAGGCCATCCCAAGGCACAAATTTAATACATGTATTGTCCATAATGTGCTTCATGGCCTTTGCAATTTCATCTTTTAAGTCATCTGAAAATTACTGAGGTTAATTTCAATGACTGATAATGAAATTGATTGTCTATTTGGCAATAATTAAAATTTGCTATTATTTTCAATGTTTGTCTTACCTAATCCTTTGTCAATTTTGTAAGGAATGACACCTCCAGGCCATCTTCTGGTATTGTTTGCGATAGCATTTCGATCCTGAAATATCAGTGAAAAGTTTACGTTCATTTAAAATGCATTGCAAAGAATAAAGATGTAGCTTTTATGAAAAAAAAATCATCGATAAATAATAAATAAACTCATTAATTTCTTCAGTGTAATAATCATATTATTTTAAAATGATTAAATTAATAATTAAAAATTTAAAAATGAACTATTCGTAACAAAAAAAAGAAGGCGGGGGAAAACTAATAAATATAACAATTTTTCAAACAATTTATTGATTTACTTTATTATAATTATCATAATTTTAGAAACATTAAGCAATTTATTATTGTTCTCACAAATGAATGACGAAAAGTTGAAAATTGTAATTACACAAAGAAAATTATTAATAATATTTAAAGTTAGCGAATAACGATAGTTTTTAAAATTATTTATTTTCAGCTGCAATAGGATTTTATTTTATAACCGTCGTTGAGCAGCCTCACCTGAATTTTTGGATTTACGAATACTAATGTCAAAGTCCATAGCTTGTCCATACATGTTCTTGTAATTTTTAACCCAATCCAGAAGACCAGGGAACTCTTGTACCAAATATTGGGAGAAATTTGCCTTCGTAGAGGACTCTTTCATATAACTATCACACATTTGAGCTACATTGAGAAGAAAACCACAAAAACCTCCCACGGTTAGTCTGACGGGGCAGGGGACAGTAACCCATGATCCGTCTATCACTTTGGATATTTTACGTCCTTACAGTATCTGGAGGGAGCAGGGAGCGAAACAGGTATTTGCGTATCTACCAGCCATAGCTGGGATTCGAGATCGGTTCATCTCATTGGAAAGCCAACGCTCTATCCCCTGAGCCACCACAGCTCGCTGCAAATGGATTGTAGAGTTTGTCATCTACCTCTTCATGTTTTGCCCAATCACTTCAATGCAACAAATTTCAAACTATAGACATGCAGAATCATATAACACCGTTATTAAGAAATTTCAGACCTAAGTTTCACTCGTAATAATTTTTCCCTTGCCTAAGATGTGACCTTTCGAATTTGAAGATTGAGTCTTTACTTAATCTCTATTGACCGTTTCAAATATGGTTACGTTTTGTTGAATTATCATAATGGACATGAGAATACAATTCTTTGTTTTTGTCAATTACTTATTATTTTTATTAAATAATAAAACTTTTAGATTCCAATATTAAAGAAAATTTCTTCTAATTTATAGCACAAAAATTATAAATAAATTTTTTTATGTTTCGTAAGAATTGTACTTGAGTCAAAAATTAAGTAGCATTTCATTACGGAAATATAAAATTCTTTAATGTAAGTTTAAAATATTGAAACAATTTTGCTTACTGCAATGTTTTCAAGACCAATGATATCTCCTTGATAGAGATCAGGATTTTCCATCGGATTTCCATAGTGAGCCCCTAAAATTGTAAAAACCACACTTTTATAAGAAAATATATTTGAATGTTTGCACCAAAATCCCTGCAAAATTCCTCAAACCTCATGCAAGTAAATACATTTGGAAACGTTGATGAGGAATAATTTTTTCATGTTAATCAAAATTAAAGAGAAAAAATGAAGTTACTTACTACACATAATATAAATTGAAGCTTATAATAATAATAATAATAAAATAAATATTAAGAAATTTCCTTTAAAAAAAATTTAGTTTTGCTTTACATATTTCATGTTTTAGGTTGACAAATAATGTATTTATAGGAAAAGTCCAAACAAGACGATTAAAATCATTTATGCGAAATAATTTAAAGTGATCATGGTGTCCCTTGTTGGCCCTGAGGCCCATTCTCTGCGTACATTTTATTTTATGACCGTCCTTAAACAGGCGATCCAATGTTTTGTGTTTATGACTACCAATGCTCAACTCCGTAGCCATGTCATTTAAACTCAATCCAGAAGACAAAGGAACTGCTGGATCAAATATTGGAAGAAATTTGCCTTCGTAGAGGACTTTTTGATGAAACTAACTCACATTCACGTCTGTTTATGATTTCTTTCACCAAATTGTGGTATATGATAAATGTTATTATAAGCTGAGAAAATAAGAGTGTATGTTGATAATTCACCAAAGAACATTTATGGTGTAAATGTAAGCAGCAGAACTTTTCTATATTTATTCTTCCATTCCTCATAAAATTTTTGTGTACGTCAAACATGTAAATATGTATTATTACCAAATTAGAGAGAAATTTAAAAAAAATTTGATAGAGAATTTATTTTAGGTGCTAAGAAAATATCTAGTTTCTCTTTGTTAATATTCTATATCCTTAAAAATAAATAACCAAATATTTTAAAGAAGTAATAAAAAGCAATTATACGATTAAAAAGAGTTTCATAAATTTAAATTAATTTAAATTAAGGAAAAAGTTTGAGACGCTAATTAGAAAATTATTCTGTAAATGAAAGAATTGTCTGTTTTTACAATTGCGTTACTTTTCTTTTTCTTAACACTCTTTTTTTAATAATTTAAAAATCATATCCGAATAATTTTTTAAATTTTCATAGCAAAATTTCATTTGTTTATGAAGGATAATTTAAACATCTTCCAGAAATGTGAGTGTAGAGTTTCCTTACATGTTATCATTGGGAATAAAAAAAACAATATCAATAAGTTTATCATGATTTCTAATTAAAAAATAAATAATTAATATCTTTTCTCAAAATATTTACTTACTTTCTTTCTGCCTCGCTATTATTCTTTACCTTTTACAGGTTTATAAGACAAAATTTTAATTAAATAAAGTAGATATCAGTTTCAACCAACAAAAAACGCTTGCCTCTTTTACAAAAATAAACATACCAAAACATTTCTGCGTAATTTCAAATAATTTTCAAATGATCCTAATTTTAACAGAACTTAATAGTTCACTCACTAAAAAAAATTCTATAAGTATAAGCTTTAACTCGTATATTTTAGAAAGATACAGTGATTATTACCACGTTTATAAATGAATTAAGTTTTTAATGACTTAAACTACGTTTTATTGCTCTCTGTACTCTCAGAGAGGATAATTACTGACATTTTAAATAAATTTGTTTTGAGCTTTAACAGTGATTATATTATTTATTGAGTTTTCTATACACATTGAACTATTTTTACTACGTTAACTTTAACGAGAAGAGAACATCATATCGTAACAACTTCTAAACTTTAGTTTAAATTTCATAAAAATACACGTTGCATTTTATTTTATTTTATAACCGTCGTTGAACAGCCGGACCAATTTTGAGTTTACGACTACCGATGCTTAACTGTGTATTCTTGTAATTTTGAACCCAATTCAGAAAACAAGGGAACTTCTACATCAAGTATTGGAAGTAATTTGTCTTCGTGAAGGACTTTTTGATGGAACTAACCCGCATTTGCGTAACACGGAAGGGAAATCAACGAAAGCCTCTCACGGTTAGCTTGACGGCAAAGGAATTCTAACCCATTATCCGTCTACCACTAACGATATTTTACGTCAGCACTGTGGTCGGTACAAGTCGGGTGCGGAATTTGTATCGACAGCCGGCGCCGGTATTCGTACCTGATTCACCTTATTGGGAGGGGAGCGCTCCATCCGCTGAGCCACCACGTCTCACTTGTTATATTTTATTTTATTAGAGTTTATTTTATTAGAAAAATATTTTTTGCAGAAAATTTTAAAAAAAAATATTTGTTTGAAAAGTTCACAGAAGATTAGATTATTACCGCCAATGTAAAAAATCAATATATTTGTATTAAATTACATAAATAAGTTTAAATATTTAGTGTGTCTTTAAATTTGTTAGCTTTATAGTTAAAATTTCATTAATAGGTTTAAAGAAGTGTTTCTTCTAAAATACATATTATGCTTTTAATTATTCTTCCTATATCATTCAATTTAAGAGACTTTTGATCAGATTTTTGGTTTTTACGTATGAAAAAAATGAATAAAATGTTAAACTTTAATTACTTTGTGTTTTTGATTAATAATGGTTGAATAAAACTACAAATGATACAGAGAAATGAAACGTTAAGAGACACGGAGAAAGACTCAGATTTTACCTTTATCATTTTATAGATTTTAACCAAAGATATGGAAGTAATGAAAATATATTAAGCATATTTAAAATCTTATCATTTAGTAATCAATATTTCTTATTATTTAATAATAAATTTTTTCCCTTTACTTACATGATGCAGGCGTAACTGCAAGTAGGAACAATAAAAAATACATTGCAGATAGCTTAAATGTCCCTACTAAATTTCCTTACAGACTTTCTTTTAGAATAACAGATACCGTTTCACAAAATTAAATGTTGATTACGTTTTTACCCAAGGGAGATTCCACACCTGCTTATCAGTCATTATTTGCAATGCATTGATTTTCTTTCTTCAGATAAAAAAATGCAAATATGTAGGCTATAATTTGATGTTAGTAATAGGCTGTTTAAAAAAGTTGAAGTTAAGATTGCACCTCGAATTAATTTTTAAATATTTTCACTATCAAAATTACATTATAGTTTCTAATTATATGTAATAAAAAAGCAGCAGATGTTTCGAACTCTTTTTACTAGGAATTTGATAGTTGTTGACCTAAATCATACTCCAAATCTTATATTTGACCATTGAAATTTCCTTGCCATGGGATCAAATTTTTTTCAATTAAACTGTCTAATATTTTGAAATTTTGCTCAATAAATTGATAGCACGTGCATCATAATGAAGTTTTCATGGCTCTTAGGAGCCTCGATGTCTTTAAGAAGATTTATTATCATTGAAAATCTAAACTTAAACATTGTGCTGTATTACAGTTTTTTTTCCCTCTCATTAATAGTATTTAGTTTATGTGATATTATTCATGTACTTTCTTATAGTCATTTTTTTTCTCTCTAATGAGTAGTAGTAGTAGTAGTAGTTCATTTACGTCGCACTAGAGCTGCACAATGGGCTACTGGCGACGGTCTGGGAAACATCCCTGAGGATGATCCGAAGACATGCCATCACAATTTTGATCCTTTGCAGTGGGGATGGCACCCCCACTTCGATAGCCCGACGACCTACACGTGAAGTCGAGCACTTTACGGTAGAACAGTTTAACGAGGACCAATACCACACACCCTCGATCCCTATGCGGACTGATCCAAGTGGTCACCCACCCGCTCAATGACCGCAGCCAGTGATGCTTGACTTCGGTGATCTTCTGGGAACCGTGTCTTGACGATCAGTCCACTGCGGGACCTTCTCCCTAATGACACCGAAGTAGTATGTATGTTTTTGTAACTTTATTCTTGCTCTTTTCATGTTGTTAAGTTCATCTTCTCAGTTTTTGTTTTTCTTCGTAAAGGAACCGAAATAGTATGTCTGTTTATGTGACATAACTTGTGCTCTTTTCATGCTAATTTCATCTGTTCACAATTTCTTTTTTCCTTCGTTATGGAACTAAAATAATATGTCTATTTATGCGACAATCCTTGTGATGTTTTCGGTTTCATTTCGCTATGAAACGGAAACAGTATGTCTGCTTTTGTGATATTATTCGTACTCATTTCACTTAAGTTCATTTATTCAAATTTTTCTCATTTCTATTCCCAACCGTAATGAAGATGTGCAAGCATTCAGGCAGTGTAAAATTTATTCATTTGATGATATTTGAAAAATAAAAAGTTAGTAAAGTAAATTGAAAAAGTATAAATAGTAGAGTTAGGAGGCAAACTTTGAAAAATAAATGTAAATAGGTTGTTAACTACTGGAAGAAGGAGTAACGCGAGACTCTGTGAATATGCATTATAATTAATAAAGTTTGTCTTTCCTTTTGTTAAAATTATAAATGTTTATTATTTTCTATTGTTTTAATTAGGAAATTGTAATTTTTTGCGGCTACAATTATAAAATTTGTTTGTCTAAAATTTGTTTTTTCGAAATTTCCCCTCTCTATCTTGTTTGCCTCTTTCTCAGATCTTTACATTGCTTGCAGTCATAAGAAAATCATTATTTCAAAAGCTTATCTAAAAGAGGTTTTGACAACCATCACGGAAACCAATATTGAACAAGTAGAGATCTCAAATAGTTTAACATTTTTATCTACTCAGTGCACACTTTTAATATTAAAGTAACTTTGTAACCTGTAAATTCTATACTTATAGTATTTAAGTAACCTGGAAGCATTTCACTCTGCTCATATTTATAGTATTTTAATAACTCTGTTACAGCAACTCCTTGCATTCTTTTAATACTCTTTGTAATATCTGCAGCATGTAATTTTGTACATACTTATGACATTCCAGTTTTATCTAATGTAATTTTAAGCTCTAACAATTTTATACATTCAAAAATATTTTTATTACAATTAAAAGTAAAATTTCCAACGAGTGCATTTTTATTCTTTTGATAAATTTAATATTTTAATCTGAATGTGCCAGTTGAACATAGATCCTAAAAGCTTGAATCCTAAAAGCTCGAGTTGATATTTTACAACGACTATAATATTACTGTTATATAACTGTAAATACAATTTCAAGAGGAAATGAAAAAAATAATTTACAATTTACGTTTTATACAATGAAGTTATATTTTCTTACAAATAAAATTCAAAAACCAATCGATGAAATAAAAAACTAAGCATACCGATCGAAAATCGAGACCTGTTCAGCAGTTGAATTTGATACGGAGCTTCTAAATCATACCAGCAAGATTTAGGTAACTGCGCAACGTTAAAATCAAAGTGTTATTCCAAATCTTAAACGATAGTTAGCCTCAAAGAAATAAGTACAACGCAACAGAATAAGTTTTTTTAACAATTATATCATGTGTTAAATAATCTGTTCGTTACTTTAGTTCTCCAAAATCACTAGGTAGGATGTTCACAAACTACATTGAAAACTTGTAAAACCAATTAACTAAAGCTAAAACAATTAAAAATTTAACGCAAGAACACAGACTTGAATCTTCTACATGAATCTCCACTAGTAAAATGCTTCTTTATTTATTCACTAGATACAATTCTTCTTTAGAAATTGTGTGTGGTTTAGGAGAGGTATAATAAGGACAACTTGCATCTGATATTAAAATATAGAAATGTTTTGATATTAAAGAAATATAATTACGTACTTACAATTTTCAATAATAACAATAAAAATTAATAAACGCAATCGATTTATTGAAAAAAGAATTTTTAATCACAATCGTTCAAGGTGGTTAAAAAGAAGAGAAAATAAAAAGTAGTACTTAAAAAAGATAGGATAGACTTTGTGTTGCGTACGAATAAAGCACATAGCACGTACGTTTATATAAATGTTATATTTGTCGATAAACATACTGTGGCTTATGTAATCATACCCCAGTATGTTTACTGACAAAAAAAATTTATGTTTTAATTATTTTATTGATAATTTTTTACGCATTTAATTATCGAAAAGATAGATTAGATTTTGTGCTGCGTGCGAATAAAGCACAACGTGAAATAATTGTTGCGACATTATTTATGTTTTATTCATATTTGTTAGATTTGTTCAAAAGCTTGTTTGTACCAAACAGAAAAAGAAATTGTGTGATTTGCAGTACATATACTGACAAAAGAAATTCGTTAATGTTTTCTTTAAAACTTTATTGGTAATTTTTTACAAAGATTATGGGCATTCATACAACATTTTTATTCTCTTTGCATCTAGTGTAGACAGCGAATACTTCTCCCAATTTTCTTTTAGAAGTCTACCATCTTTACCTGTCATACTATGCTGGCCCCAAACTTTGGCAAAGGAGTTGCTACCATACAACATTATTGAACCATAATCAAACTCTGTCAGAAGTCGGTTCTGTTCTGGCCTTAATTTCTCGAATGCGTAATACCATTCTGGAAAAAAACAATTATTACCATTAGCGCATGTGGCTTGCTGTAGTTATTTTTCTCAATGCAATCTTTATTTAAACACTTTATTGTACTCGAAAATGTACTATATGTAACAAAGGTAATTTTAAGTACTGACTATGATATTTTCTGTCGTAATACAGGAAGAATATTATGTGCATTACTTAAAAGTGTGTCTAAAAACTTCTATGTAAACATTTATTAACTTCAATGAAAAAAGAAACACTTTTTTGCATTTGTTGACATCTTAGAAATAACTATGAATCGATGTGCCACGTTTTTCTAACCAAACACGTACTAAAATGTATACGTTGACATCACGTTAAGCGAATGAACCAGGCTTAACGTCACGCTTAATGCGATGTCACGTTATGCTTGATTTCACGTTAAGCGATTAAATGCGGCCTCATATTGAGGCCGATTTTTCTTACTTACTTTGATCGATGTTTTCCCAATTTATGATGATATAATCATCTCTATCGGACCTCATGTGCTCGTGATGGAATCCTACAGCATGCAACAACTCATGCAAAATAACTCCAAAAGATTCACAGCCTGGTCCCAAAGACAATTTTTGCCCTCCTCTTCCGATTCTTCCTACGTAGGAGTAACACCTGCAAAAAAATATTTCTTACGTAAAATTGTAATATTTTATCATTATTTTAGCTATGAATAAAGGTTTCTCTTAAATTCGAGGTAACCATAGAGTAAAAGCATTCATTCTCTAGAACATGGATTTTCAAAACTCAGGTTTTCAGTAATAAAAAGGTATCTAATGGTAAGCTATAAGAAATATCCCGTCACACAATGGTATATGGGTATCCTGTAGGAAAGTATTAGAGATATCCTGTAACGAAAAGATATCTATGTATCTTGTTGAAAAGCATGAGAGATATCTTTACAGACAAAAGCATCTAGGTATCTTGTTTGGAAACTATAACAGATATTCTTCCTCACAAAAGTATGTAGTATCATGAGAGAAACTGTAAAAGATGCCCTTCCAAGTAAAGGTATCTAGGTATCTTATAGGTAAGTATATGAAATATCCTGTGACACAAAGGTAACTAGATATCTTAAGGGAAAATATCAGAGATATCTTCCCACACAATGTTATATAGGTATCCCGTGAGAAAGTAAAAGAGATATCCTCAAATACAAAGATAACTAGGTATACTGTGGGACGTTATGAGAGATATCCTTCCTCATAAAGGTAACTGGGAATCCTATGGGAAAGTATAAGAGGCATCCTGCAAACAAAAGCATTTAATAGAAAGATATAGGAAGCTTTCTCCTAAACAAAGACATTCCGGCATCAAATGATAAAGTAAAGTATAACAGTTACACATTTTTTTAACAAAGCATTTTAGTGCCAGATAATGGAAACTACAAATTTTGCTAGAAAGAGATTTTTAAAATGCGAAATTTTGTCTAGTTTAGAAACTGTGCTTGATAAATTTTTTGTTTAGATTCGCAAAGATCATGTTTCTGTGACATAGTGAGTGTTTATAAGCGCGTATTCTATCAGCTTATACGTACTTACCCATTGTCTTTAAAGATATCGACATAGTCATGCTCATGAGTACGCTGTACAAAGCGAAGGCATGTATGGACTTGTATGTGATCCATTACCTTTTGTATTGATTCCGTCAATGAACCTAGAGAGATTTTCTGTTACTAATTTTTACTCACATAACATTTGGCATGTTACATTGATAATTTTAGGGACCCAAATTCCTTACAAGAAAAACTTAGAAATTTGTTGATTGATTTTTGTAATTTTTTTAGTAAGTGCTACAATTACAATCTAAGTAATATTTGTCAGCATCATTTCTAGAAACAATTATCAATCTCCGGTGTAAAATAATATGAAATTTGATACCAGAGATAATTTTCGTAATAACAAAAATCAAGATGGCAGCTAAAGCAAAATACGTGTTTTTGCACAATTACGTTTTCTAGAACGTGCTACAATTACCATCTACGTTATCTTTGTCAGACTTTTTTTCTAGAAACACTTATTAATTTTTACCATGAAAAAAACATAAAATTTGATCCCGCGAATTCTTTTTTTTTTAAATTTCAAAATGCCGACAAAAAATTCGAGTTTCTTTACTACTCACACTTTTCTAGTGTGTCAAAGTTGCCATCGATTTAATTTATTAAACGTTTTCCATCTTCTTTCAAAAAAACTACTCTAATATCATTTTCCAGTTTAAAAATAGCATAAAACTTGATAACAAGCACGGTTTTTTTAAAGAAAAAAAATCAACATCGTGAGTAAATAAAGGCATTTTTTTCTTCTTCCTACTGCCACTTTTCTGGAATGTCAAAAAGGTATCACTTATTTGTTTTGTTAATCATTTAACTTCAAAAGCCACTGCAATTTTATTTTCCAGCTTAAGATACCCTTTTTCGTTACTTTATGACTTTTTTTAAACTTTGATATTCTTTCAAGATGGTGGATAAAAAAAAAATTTCCAAGCTCAAATTTTTCTCGACTTCTAGTGTGTCAACACAATAAATTCAATCTTTGTTTTTGTGGAAATTTGTTACACCAAACACCAAATTTTCGCCTATTTCTCCTGTACTAAATTCGATCCGATTTTAGAGCAGAATGATTTGATTTGATTGAATACTTACTTAGTTCTGGAGAAATAACGTACGGAATAACACCTCCATTCCATCGTTGGGAATCAAGTGCAATAGCATTCCTATCCTAAAACCGAATGACAATATTTAGTTTTGTATTGAAATCATAACCAAGGTGTTATATAAAAACTGCCCATAATACGTATGAGTTTCCAAATTCTTTGGAAAAAAATAAATTGATGCCATTACTTAAATTCTACTTCTTTTGCAATTGGCAGTGATACTTAATCTTCATAATTTGTTAACTTTGGTGGTTACCTGATTAGAAACTTTATTCGTTTTACATATACATAAATAGGAAATAACAGTCGACAAGCATTCAAAAACAGGCGCCCAAATTCAAGGCTTGCCAGACGTGAATTAGAAGAAGCAAAAGTAATTTTAAAAATGAAACGAAAAGCTGTCAACAAAAAAATGGATAAATAAAGGTGAGAAAAACAGGAGAGAATATAAGCAATTTTATTACAAGCGGGAGAAAAAATGGTAAAAAGTTCTAAAACTGCACAAGAAGTTCCATAATGACAATATTTGAGATAAATTTGTAACATTTTTTCCCAAAATGAAGTAAATATCGTATTCAGAGGTAAAAAAAAAATAGAACTGATATTGGTTGTAAAGTTTCTGTAAAATATCAGGTGAATCGGACAATTCTATATAGGGCCAATATCGGAAAATATCGGCTATTTGAACCCTTATTGGGCCAAGATTTATGAGTATTGGTCCAATGAGGGCCCGCGTTATTTTGCTGCTAGAGGGTATTTTTGTGGAAAATATTGACATTCAATAGAGAAAAAAAGAATGAAGAACAAGAAGCAATTACGGTGGTAGGAGAGCGGAGCGAGTAGAAGGCAGAATCTCCTAATTTTCCCTTAGGAAAATTTGCCATAGAGAAGCCTATGGTAATCTATGGCAACCTATGGCTACCATAGAAATTTGTATGGCAAGATACCATACGCCTATGGTTACCATAGAGATTTGTATGGCACAACACCATAAGCCTATGGCTACCATAGAGATTTGTATGGCACAACCCCATAAGCCTATGGCTACCATAGAAATTTATATGGCAAGATACCATACGCCTATGGTTACCATAGAGATTTGTATGGCAAAACCCCAAAAGCCTATGGCTACCATAAAGATTTGTATGGCAGTATACCATAGACTAATGGTAACCATAAGGATTTGTATGGCACGTCACCATTGGCCTATGGCAACCACAGAAATTTGTATGGCAGTATACCATAGGCCAATGGTAACCTTAAAGATTTGTATGGCAGTATACCATAGAGAAAAGCTGATCTAGATCTCCACCAACGAAACAACAACTTCTATGGAGTCCTCAAAAACATCTTCTAAAAGAAATAAATATCCATTATTTCACCCCGAAGTTAATTAAATTCAACATGTAAACCCACAAGGCATTCCTGGTGAGTCTTTTCCGGCCTCCGGGTGGCCAATTTTTCCATTTTTGAGTGTTTAAAATCAGATGTTCCATTGATTTAGGCTTAGAGTATCAGACCGCCATATTAACGTGTCATCCACTACAAGTGGAATCTTTCGCAAACTTTGGCTACTTATTTTAATATTTTTTCGATCTCATTCTTGGTCAAAAACAATTTATTGCAAACGCCTATGCGATTATCTATCTGAATTTATTAAGTTTTTTAATTTCCGGCTGTCTGGTACTTTTATCAGTGTTTACATTCTCATTAGTTTTTTATTTTAATTCCACTTAGGTTCTTGCAATGCTTTTTTACATTATCTTACATATGTTAGGGCTTTATATTTATATTTTGTGTTTAATTTTTGCTTGCCATTAAATTGTTTTTTATCATGTCTCTGTGTTTTACTATTTTACAACTAATATTTCTTAAGTATCCACATATATTTGTACAATGTTCTGTTACATGTTTATACATAGCTTAGGGTCATCACTTAACTAGATTTGCTGGATTACTGGTTGACAATTGTTTTGCTTCAATATCATCAACTGGACAGTCCCTGGCCATATCATCTGCTGCTGTAACCAAAAATGCTTTTAACAATTTAATCTTTCCTTAAGTTTACAACTTTTTCGTCATAGTGATTCCCTATACCCAATTAATTTTTATTTACTATCCCTGACCAAGTGTAAATTTGTCAATAACAATTATTAATTTCACCAATTTTAATCATGTCTTAAACATGTTTTGTATTTACCAATGTTTCTATATTGTGTTCTCTTTTCTAAATGTGCTTAACACAACTCAACATAAATTTTCTGAGTTTTTTTATCCCTCACTAGTAGGGGATCAACTAATTTAGCCTGTTTTCTATTCTTAGCTTTTCATAGTCTAATACCATCTTTTTTATGGATAAAATTTTGTTCACATGCCACCACTGGTTGCACCGTTACATATTCAGCTTTTGTCCCGTTTGATCTATTTTAAACTAATTTCGCTTCGACCACCGGCCCCACTCTTTATCTTTTGAGTTTTAATAGTATTTTATTGTTTTAGTAGTCTGTTTAATTTTTAGTTTAGTATCACATATCAAAATTTAAAGAATTTTCATACTCGCTCCGACCATCGGACCGTTATTTTGCTTCGCGTTCTTTTAGGTTCCTCTAATATCTGACGCTTATCTAACTAATTATGATACCAATCAATCAAATTAACGTTTTTTATACTCGCTCCGACCTCCGGACCCACTTTCTATTTTCTTGTTTTTACAGCTTTAACAAATATTAGTTGCCTGTACTCAATATATTTTGTTCCTAATCAACATAACCAATATTTTCCCCACTCGCTCCGTCCACCGGACCCATTTTCTAGCGGTTAGTACTAACTGTTTGAAATTTATTTGAATAAGAACCGCATACAAAAAGGATTCTGCAAGTAAAACAGGAGAAGTTTATCAAAGAAATTTAAAAAAAAGCTTTCTGGATATATATTTATTCTACAATTATTAAGTTTTGCATTTTTAATATCCATTGCGAAAGATTCTTGTAAGTAATTATTTTTTGACGTATGGTAAAATATCAACGAGAAATGTTGCCATAGCTGTATGGCAAAGGTATACCATAACCTATGGAAAAATATTTCTTCATAAACTGTAGCACATCTTAGTTTTATGGCAAAAATTTGCCATATAAAAAAATGCCATAGGATATTCCTATGGGGTTTTGCCTATGGCAAAATTTGCCATACATGTATGGCAAAATTTTTGCCATAGGCAAAACCCCATAGGAATATCCTATGGCATTTTTTATGGCAAACCTATGGCAAATTTTCCTAAGGGTTATATTTAAAAAAATTCATATGAAGACAGATCATAAATTTGGAGAAAAATATGAACTAGTATGAGCTGCGGTGGCTCAAGGGAGACACAGGTTCGAATCCCAGTGGTGGCTGGCTATTTCGAATTCTGCTTTCGGCTCGCACCGACCACAATGCTGACGTAAAATATCCTCAGTGGTACACGAATTACTGGTTAGAATACCCTTGCCATCGGGCTAACCATGAGAGGTTTTCGTGGTTTTCCTTTCCATGTAAATGCTGGTTAGTTCCATCAAAAAGACCTCCACGAAGGTTCCAATGCTTGATCCAGGAATTCAATGAAAAAGTGAATAAAGAATGTGAATACATGCAATGAAAAAATGTTAGTTTTCCAGAACACAAAAAACGGAGGCAACTATATACCAAAATTTTTAATTAATGATTTAGCCGGAGACAGAAGTGAGCAGAATAAAGTAAAGAATAAAGTTTTGTTGAATTATTTTTAATCTTATCTTTCTCTTTGTTTTATTATACTTTTTTATATTTTTTCAAAGGTATTTTCAAGACCAATTTTTCCGTAGCTAAATGCGAAGTAAAAACTGCTCATTTTGCTCTTGACAATGACTTATATAGTGGGCGAAAAAAACAGAGCACCTGAATAACTTTTGATCAAAGATCGGATTTTTATGTTCTGGGACTTAATGGCTCAAGAATGTAACTTCAAATATGAAAATTAATAAGGGCAGACAATATTTTAAGATACAAAAATGCACTTTCTCTAAATAAGCCTAACTTTTTTTCGACGGATTTAGATTTCTGACCCGAGAAATCGAATTTTAATTGCCTGATTTTTTCGAAATTAAATTGTTTTACAACTCTTCAACCGAATTATTTATATTCTGTAAGTTATAATCTTAAGTTATATTCCTTAAAATGATGCAAAAAATTATGCACCCCACAATTCAAATCTTTTTCGACCATTATTATATAAAAAAATAAAAAGCAATAAATAGGTACTTACTAAAAGTTATTTTTTTCATGGAATTATCTTTGAATAAACGAACTTTATAATTCAGTGCAAAAAATTTTAATTCGCACAAAAATTTCTTTAGATATAGCGAAATATGCAAAATGTGAAATTAACATTGAGGGGTCCAAACTTATCACCGCTCTCTAAACCAAACTATTTTGACTATATTTCCTAGATTGCAGCTATACCCTAAATTTTAAAGTTTAGAAATCAGAATCCCTTGAATAAAACGGTATGTTTCATCAGAGAGAGTACGTTTTTGCATCTGATTGTGTGATCTCTATTTTGTAACTTAAAATGTCGTCTGCACTTATTAATTAGCATATTTGAGGTCGACCCCTCGAGCCATTAAGATTGCGTATCAGAACATGTTGATCCGCTCATCAGATCAAAAGTTATTCAGTGTGGTCCGTTTTTTTACTGGCATTCTGTACATGGTAAGTAATTATACATGGTTTTTGACCTCATGACGATATCTATTGAAAATGAACTTATAAAAGTGAGCCCAAACTTGTCTTTAGCAATTACGTAAAAATCGTTATGGAAAAAAAAGTATTCTAAGAAGAAAACGCGAAATTCAAATTCCTTCATATACTTTTGATCGGGAAAATAAAAATCGCAGAATATATAACTGAACTTTTATTGGTATGGATATTAAACTAAATTTATGTCACTAGACAAATATATTTAATAGATGACTAATTTTACAATGGTATTTCTTGTTCAAATATTTTTAACATTTATTTATTTGAAGGATAATTAACATAAAGAAAAGTTTTGTTTCTTAATCATTTTTGAAAAATTCTTCTACAAACAACTAGTTGGCACAAGTACTATTACTATTATTACAAGTATTTTATACAAGTATTTTGTAAAAGTACTAAATATTATTTGTACAAGTAACTAAAAGAGGCATGTATTACCGTATTCGGATCTATACCCATTATGTCACCTTGAAAAAGACCTTCATTTATCATCGGGTTGTCGGTCACTGCAAAAAAAAGTGATTTTAATGGACAATCTTCAGAATGATAAATATTTGCAATAGACATAAAATGAAAGTTGTCATGAGTACTAAAATATTAAACATTTATGAAGCATCGAGGCAGTAATCATGAACTATCAGATTAATCTTGAAGTCATTTTTATTAGTATGCATTGAATGACGATAATCAAGTTTGTAGGTTTCAGTTGACGATAACGAAGTTCTAAGACTGAAACGGAATCTTGAAAATTTCTGATGCGTCTTTCTGCCAATGTTATGTTTACTAGACGATGTGTGAGCAAGATTGATATTCGAGGAAGCTTTATTATTGATCTTATACTTAAATTTAAGTGCAGTTTCATCTTCCATAAGACTGTTCTGTATTTCATAAATTTCAAAAGGTCGAGAGCCGTATACTGCCGTGCAATTAAAAAAAAACAAAGTGAATGTTTCACGATTAATTCCAAAAAAAGTGGCTTGACATCTATTTTCCTATTATTTCTAAAATACAATTTTTTTTTAAAAATTTAAATAAAATAAAATAAATCTTGAATTTTTTATTCTGCAATATGTAACTTACCATACAAAGATGCCAAATATTAGGTGGGCTGGAAAGTAATGTCGTTTTGGCGCCTTAAATATTCGTTAGTCTTAAAAATCAATTCCTTTTATTTCGATCCGGCATTGAAAGATGGCTGCTAACGAGGGTGAATATTTTATTGATTAAAAATAAAATCTTGATAGCAAATATCAAATGCACCAATCCGACATTACTTTGCTGTTAACCTAATGTATAAAAATCTCGATTTTGAATTTTTTATCGGTTTTTCAATTGCATGGCAATATAGCGATTTGAGGAAATTAATGTCAGTCACAAGATTAAAAAAGTGTTTATGCTTTTAGTATTATCCTCAGTTTTTTTTTGTTTTTGTTTCTTGTATGAAAATTACAAACTAAATAGTAAATTGCACGAATCATATTGTAAACAGTAATTATTGCTCTACTATGCATGAACAGTGCATATTGAAAACAGTAAACAATGTAGGGCGGTGATTTTTTTAAGACTAGACGTACAATGAATCGAAAGCTCTAGTAAATCAGAAATCTTATCTACCTAGGCTTAGCATTATACGGTTTTACGGTTTGTAGTTTAAAACGGCTACCATAGTAGGAAGCAGAATAATTCTCATAAGCTATAATATCTGCTACGGTAAACATTAAGACCAATTTCTGCTTCTGTTAAACCACGTGACGTTGTTTCATCTTCAACAATTGTGTGAATTGGGTGGACAGATGAGAACACATATCAAAAAACATTTCAGAGGAAAGGTTTGCTGTTTAATTAAAAGTTTTGCTTTTATGTAAAACCTTTAATAATAAAACATTTTCAATAGTTTAGATCCGTAGAAAAAATGATNTGTCAAGCTTGTTAATTAAAGGTCTTTCTGTTGCTGCTTTCCCAAACAAAATGTAAAATATTTATTTAAAAATAAAAATACAAAGATAAAAAAAAGACATTTATTTAGAAAAATACAATGCAACTAATAATACAATATTTTTTCTTCCTCATTTTCAATATCTACATTTCCGCCGTTATGGCCTCCTTATAATAAAGCTTTGCTGCACCTTAAAAAAATAAATAAAATTTAAGCAATATTAAATCACAAAATCATATAAGACTGCAGAATTAAACTTACTACTTTTTATAAAATAAATTTGAATATATTTACTTGTTTTGCACAAAATTAAATCAAAGTAATATTTTTTATAAGATAGCATCACATATTTCCTTACATATTAAACAAACCTTTGTAGCGTTGCATTTAACTTACGTGGCTAAGCTTATTTGCCCAGGTTAAAATTTTTGCTGGAATTTGGTTGCTAGACAAGCATATAATGCTATGTACCAGCTAAAATACCAGCATATACTACCATAAATCCAAGGCCGGATTTACGTATAAGCTATCATCGGGTTGTCGGTCACTGCAAAAAAAAGTGATTCTGATGGACAATCTTCAGAATGATAAATATTTGCAATAGACATAAAATGAAAGTTGTCATGATTACTAAAATATTAAACATTTATGAAGCATCGAAACAGTAATCATGAACAATCAGATAAATCTTGAAGTCATTTTTATTAGTATGCATTGAATGACGATAATCAAGTTTGTAGGTTTCAGTTGACGATAACGAAGTTCTAAGACTGAAACGGAATCTTGAAAATTTCTGATGCGTCTTTCTGCCAATGTTATGTGTTATATATTAATTTTCATCGGTACATAAATTTTTATAAACAAAAACAAAAATCGAGACATCACAAACCATTAATTGAATTGTTAAAACTATTTTTATTTTATTTTTAATGTTTTAATCTGTTTTGTACAATTGGCTGGTGGCTGGGTCGCGTGCAAGCGATTTTTCCCTTTTTTTGAGTTTTAAGTCCCTTCGCAAACGATTATTCCCCAACAGGCAGTAAATGGCTGAAGAGGAGTGATGCAATGGATGAGTAGGAGTGACGTAATGGTATGAGAGCCTATCAGAGCTTGCCAGAGGGCGCTGTTTTTCTCCCTCCTTTTTTTCGAATATTCGACGCAGAGCGCGTTAGCCAGTCTCTTAATTTTTTTTTTCTTAAAGGTAACAGGTTTTTTTTTAGGTAGACGTTTTAGGGCTACTATGCCCTGGATCCAGGAACCGGATGACCGATAAGTATTTTTTTTCTTTCAAATTGGCGTATTAAATTAGTAATTAATTTTAATTGAACGTCTTTAATTAACAATGTCGAAAAGTGTTACAATGTTAAATTAACTTAAAATAGATATTTAATAATCTAATTACGCCGATAATCTTAAACCACGTGAGAATAATTTTTTTTTAAACCCAGCCTAATTTTTTATAAGTTGTTAAATGTGAATTATTTTCCATAATATATATTAAATTGTTGTAAAGTTGAAATTTTGTTTTGGAGATGTTGCACCAAAATTTTGAATTCCTAAGACATTCTAATTATTGTGTTAACGAAGAATGTTTTATATGTATTGTAACCAAGAATTATGTTTTAATACAATTTTGTTTTTAAAAGTCATATTAGTCTTTAATTCTGACTATGCCTCGTGCTAATTCCTTGGATAGGATTAAATTTTGTGCACGTGCAGTCTAGTGCCATGATTCTCTAAGATTATCTATAATCCTTTTTTATATAACTATAAATATTTCGTTAAATAATGCCAATTAACATTGCTTAAAATTAATTCCAGTCCAAATTGCTGTTTAGCTTAGCAGTTTAGCTAACAGCAGATTAGCTGTTTAGCTAATTTTGCTAACAGATTTCGAGTCACGTGGTTGGCCTGCACGAGCACGTTGGAGAAATAGTAAATACTGAATTTAAATGTTAGTTTTAAGGTATGAAGATACTAATTAATTCAATATTAGAATCACGTTGTAATTATTTGAAAATTTTTAGATACATTATTTGATTTTTGATTTAAATTTTTCACAAAGCAAGTGTAACCTTATTAATTAATTATTCCAAATTCTATACGATCTATTATATTATTATTTTATTAAAGGACATTATATGTTAAAAATGATTCATGAAATTAAAAATAAATTATAACAACGTTTACGAACCAATATATAATTTAATATAATCCTGGTTAGTTTAATTTTCTTTAACTATAACAGTATAAATTTTTTATAAATTATACCTGAATTACTTTTGTCAATACTGAATACCAATTTTTAAGTTATACCTGGTTTACAGTATAATTATTATAATAATAAATAATATTTTTAAATTTAACATAACATAGGGCATTTATTTTTCAAGAGGAAAACTTTCTGTGGAAAGCCAAATATTTGTTGAATTATTTAAATTCTATTTTTTTCTTTATTTTTGCATTTGTTTTCTGCGGCTGTTTATAATTTTTTTTTTCCTTCCAATTTTTTTTTTACTCCATTGTCACATTTCACCATCCTCACCCGTTGTCATACGTCATACTATAAAGATTGGAATTTAAATCAAAAAATGAGAGATCAATATTTTTCTTTGAATGATATTCTTTTTATTTTTCATTAAAAATAACATATAAGTTTCATTAAATATATTAAGTTTTAAAATATTTAAATTTTTTCTTAGCTTAAAACACATTAGAATCATTGTAACAAGCAAAAATTATTATGGCACACTTAATTTTTACGCATGCTTAAATTGAAATTTAACAGTGTCACAAAGTTAGGATGTTCAAAATGCTGGATCACAAAATGAAAAGCAACATAGAAACATTTGAATTAAACTGGTATTTCTTATTTAGGTGCTGGTGAAGCTAATTTTGATGCTTTTGAAAGTAATCCTTTTATGACTAAATCTCAACGAAGAGAAATGGAAGTGAAAGCATTGCTTGAAAAGGTAACCTGAACTTTTGATACTAAACTCTTTAATCAGTGCATTTATGTGTTCTCAAATAAATTTTTTTTAAATTTTGCGAAGAAATAAACGAAAAAATAATGGTTGTTAGAATATATATATTTCTTGTGTAATATCTGACGATGTTTTTCGTCTTCTGATATTTCACAATTTTTTGTTTTTCATATTGTGATGCAAAATATGTTGAAATCAGCTGTCAGACTGTTTACAACTATAAAAATAACTTGTTAACTAATAAATAATTACTTTTCTAAGTCAATATCTGGTTTTCAATTTCAAACTTTTTAGTATAAATCTGACTTAAAAATTTAAATTTCTAGCTACAAAATATTGTGTTTGAAAGTGAGCCAGAAGAATTTCATTCATTGGCAATGGAGAATTTTAATATCTCACAAAGGAATAATTGGATGTTGTAAAAAATATAGAACAGATATTCATTTAAATCCATTACAAAGTATAAGAGTTATTTTTTTTATACAAGTTGCTGTTGTAACATAGCTACAACATTTGTAACTAGCTAACAATTACAAAATATTTGAACAAAAAGGTTTGTTGCTTGTATGCTCAGTAATCAAAGTTTTACCCACTTGTTAGAACGTGAACAGATATTTGAATTTAGTTTCTGAACCAAGCCATTTACAAAAAAATCAATCTCAAAAGAAAACTATTAAAAAAAATTTACATTAGAATGGAATATTCTATTGGAATGTTTTAATTTAGGAATGCTCAAAAAGTAGCTTTTAGAAAACAGTAGCTATAAAAATTTTATGTTAATCTCAAATTTATCTATTTTTCCCTTATTCTTAAAAATTATTTTAACTTATTATTTACTATTACTAATTTTTTTCACTTTTTTATGGTTAAAAAAAGCTGCAATCTTGATCACCTAGGCATGGTAGAAGAGCTACGAATTCTCAAAATACAAACATTACCAACTTTAATAATTGTATTGCCTGATGAAAAACATTAATTTCTTGTTTTCTAATATTTAGATTTATTAAATCACAGTTGGGAATTTTTTTTTATCTATCTAATATCTTTATTGTTTCATTTTAATGTAATAGAATTTATTATTTTTTAGATTCAACCTGAGTTAATTACTCTGGACCCTGGTCACTTAGGATCTATAAATGTGCCTAGCTTAAAAGAAAAAATGGAAAAAATGAAATCAATTGCTGTAAGTATTTCATAACTAGCCTTATATAAAGTTTATTTTTGTGTAAGGAATCAGTTTTTTCTAAAACTGTCCAGTTCAAGTTATTTTTATTATAAATTATTTTAAAAAACCTCTAAAAAGGTTTTAACTTGTTGCAAGGTAACAAAAAAAGCATGTTGAATTAGTTAATTTTAAAACATAGCATACTGTTCATTTGCTTGAATATGTGTTCCTACTTAATCACTGGAATAACCCATGGTTTAAAATCTGGACAGACATTCCCTAAATACGTTCTGTGGAGCCCTACAATTCTATAGAGATTTTTCTGGAGTGTTCTGCAAAACTTTAAGTTTTCTATAGAAGTCTTACAGGGGTTCAGGACTTTTTTTAACCGGTTATGTTTTTTGAAACTTGTAATTACATTTGCATCTAATCGAAATATTTTAGTTATCTTTAAGCCAATTCACCTATGGAGAAAAAAAAATAGCTAAATTTAAAATCTATATAACTCTTCTAATAATAATACATTTAATGGATTATGAAAAGTATTTCACCTTAGTATCCCCTCAAACGTTTCTATTCAAAATTTTGTTTTTTTCCAAATGTTCTATTCAAGTTTTCCTGATTCTCAAAGTTTATAGCAGCTCTATTTCATTTCAATAAATATTATAATTCCATATCATTATCAGATTTTGCATACACCAAAAACTAGTCAAAGTATCACTCCAGCCCAATAAATTCAGTTGACGAAAAATTTAATTTTTAATAATTATTGATGAAACTAGAATCATCATTCTTCATTTTAAATGTTTTTAAAATGATTAGTAGTCTTTCTTAAGTTAATATGTTCACAATTGCTAATTTTTTTATTTATGTTGTCGCGGTTCTGCTTAAGCAAGAAATTTGTCACGTGATAGCGCATGATCCGGCAATGAATATAGTAATCNGGGAACATATCATCTTTCAAGCAATTTGAGTATTAATAAATTATTTATAAATAAACAATTTTTTAGTTTAAAAGGTAAAAAAGTTTTTTTTTGCCCCATCATTCGATCATCAGACTATTTAATATTTGTTTCTAACGATCAGAATTCCCTTTTATTTTACTTTAAAATTGTACAAATGATATATTTAATGCTTTCATGTGATATGCAGCAGTTTCAAACAGCACTTTAAAATATCTTAAAAAGGACAGAAATTGTCAGTTAAAAAAGAAATTAACTAATACTTTTGAATAAGAATTTAAATAACTACACACAATTGTTTTGCTATCTCATTCTATATAGCATTATTTAGAGGAGACAGTTGCGTGTGGGTGTGATGATGACGTAATAAAAGAGGCATACAAAAAAAGCAAATTTCATTTCAGTTAAAATCCTCAATATTATATTTTTAATGTAGTAAAAGAGGTATACAAATTAACTGTCGCAAACAAATTAATATTAAGTAAGAACGAAACAAAAATTATATCGAAATATGCTGAATCACTAATGAGACCGGGATGAAAGACATCGAAATCTATTTGATTGAATAGTATAACTAGAAGGTGTTTCTAAAATTCTGAAATCTATAGGCTTTAATTTTTTTTTTACTGTCACAAACTTTATCAGTAATTAAAAATAATATATTCGTTAGATTTCAATATTGGTTCTGTTTTTTCGGAGATTAAATGTTAAACATTAACAGTTATTTGTCTTTTAAAACATTTCATTCTAAAATAAGATAATTATTTTACAATTGTAATTATCTAAAACTAATTGCTAATTGATATAAAGCTTTGGCATGCTCCATTGATATGTTGAATGCTCGTTTTGGCGGGATGACCGGGACAGTTGCTCTTTCACATCCTAGCCACTATACACCATCAAGAGCAGAGCTGATACTTTAAACCCATATGACATTTATTTTCTCTGATATTTAATAGACCCTTTAATAAATCCTTAAAAATATAAGTCAAAAATTTACATAAATAATAAAAAAATTATTTCTTGCATTACAATTTAACAAATGTACTTAAAATAATCAAAAAGAAAGCAAACATAATTAAGAAATATTTTTAATATAAACATCAATTAAATAACATCCGCTTACGAAATGTTCTTTTTATTTTTACAAACAGTATTAATATAACGGCCCTCACCTGCTAGAGGGACTGCTGGATTCGGTTCAAAATGACATGGCTGCGGAGTTGAATATTAGTAGTCGTAAACTCGAAATTGAGTCGGCTGTGCAATGACTGTTATAAAATAAACTAATAAATTTGGCCGGGATAGTATGGTTGATAGGGCGTTGGACTCGTGTTCGTGAGAATGGGAGTTTGAATCCAGCCGGCAGAAAAATACCCATATATAAAATGGTGACTGGTGCATGTTAAATCGGTCGTTGTTACAAAGTCCTCCAAGTTCTCATAACAAATAAATACCTCTTGGTACTACTATAGCAGTTCCCTTGTCTTCTGGATTGGATTCAAAATGACAAGGCTGNTTAATATAAACATCAATTAAATAACATCCGCTTACGAAATGTTCTTTTTATTTTTACAAACAGTATTAATATAACGGCCCTCACCTGCTCCAGGGACTGCTGGATTCGGTTCAAAATGACAAGGCTGCGGAGTTGAATATTAGTAGTTGTAAACTCGAAATTGGGTCGGCTGTGCAATGACTGTTATAAAATAAACTAATAAGTTTGGCCGGGATAGCCTGGTTGATAGGGCGTTAACTCGAAATTGAGTCGGTTGTTTAACGGCGGTTATAAAAAAAAAATAAAACCAATAATCAAATTTTATTTTCTTGTTTTCTTTCTAACTCTTTGCATATTTTCTACTCATATTCAAAATTTCATGTTTCTAAGTCTTATAGATTTTGTAACGTAAAGAAAGTACAATTGGAAAAAAAATTCGCGAAAAAAATCATTAAAAATTGCAAATAAAATATATTCAAAATGAATCTAAAAAAAAAAAAAAAAACTGTTAAATATATAGTGTGGGCCACGATTTTTGCACGCCAAATTTTTACTCTGTGCTTAAAATGTGTTTCTTTTGTAACTTTTTCCCCTCGTTCAAAAAATATGTGCAATAAAAGAAAGGTTCTACATAATAGTCTCATCACAATTAATATAATTAACAATAAAGTAATATTATCAAGTTTTTTAATAATATAATGTTAATACTCAATAATAAAAAATAGTGGCAGTTTACTTTAGGTGCATAGAAATGGAATTGAACTTATAAGGGCCCCATCATTTTCAGTAGCTTAGGGCCCCACCAAGCTTAAATCCGGCCCTGCATAAATCTTTGCTGGTTCCAGCATAATTACTAGCATTCCATACCATGAATTGGCACACTTTATTGCTGGTCCAGCATATATAAACCAACTTGTGTTGCTTGAATATCTTGCTGGTCCAGCTTGTGTTGCTTAAATATCTTGCTGGTCCAGCATACATAAACCAACTTGTGTTGCTTGAATATCTTGCTGGTCTAGCAACAATCAAGACCACAACTTGCTTGTTCTTTATGCTTTACTAGCAATAGTTCCCTAGCAACAGATGCTTTTTTTTATTGCTATTCCAAGCATAATTCTCTACCAACAGTTGCTTGGAATCTTTGCTATTCTAGCATAAAAATCCGACCATCAGTTGCTGGGAATATCTGCTATTCTAGCATTATTTTCCTACCATCAGTTGCTTGAAATCTCTGCTATTCTAGCATTACTTTCCCACCACTAGTTGCCTGTAATCCCTTCCATTCTAGCATTACTTTCCTACCACCAGTTGCTTGATAACTTTGCTATTCCAGCATTATTTTTCTACCATAATTCTACATAAAAAGGGAGTAACAAAATGGAATTTAAAATTTAAAACAAAAATTTAAATTGGACAATTTAGCAACTAAATTTTGTAACTGTAAACCAACTAATTTTAAATGCCAAACTTATTAATTAAAAGTCCTTCTGTTGTTGCTTTCCTAAACAAAATGTAAAATATTTATTTAAATATAAAAATACAAATATAAAAAAAAAGACATTTATTTAGAAAAATACAATGCAACTAATAATACAATATTTTTTCTTCCTCATTTTCAATATCTACATTTCCGCCGTTATGGCCTCTTTATAATAAAGCTTTGCTGCACCTTAAAAAAATAAAGTTTAAGCAATATTAAATCACAAAATCATATAAGACTGCAGAATTAAACTTACTACTTTTTATAAAATAAATTTGAATATATTTACTTGTTTTGCACAAAATTAAATCAAAGTAATATTTTTTATAAGATAGCATCACATATTTCCTTACATATTAAACAAACCTGATTGTCTTGTTATATTTTTATGAATTTGTATTGGTAAAAAAAGACATGAATTTAAAAAAAGATCTGATTTTATATACAATCATAGAAAATCTAAAATGTTAGCAAAAAAGGCTGCTGCATAAAATATACTGCAACGGAATTTGCATGTACTGTTTGACTTTTCTTATTAACATTATTATCTTGATTTTGATAAAGATTCAAAAACAAAGATTTAAACTAAACGCATATATTCTAGGAGAAGCAAGTAAGGGTATACAATTTCCCAGGCACCTGACTGACTAAAGAATAGAAGCTGGTACTCAATATAGCAAATTTAGCACAAACGCAGAAAATTACTTCACTACTTTCCATTCCATAACATGCTCATTCCTAACAATTCGCCCTGTTGCCAACATTATTAAAAAAACTGTATTAAAAATATGTTATGATTAGGAAAACAAAACAAATTTGTTATAAATATTGCAGTAGAATTTTTTTTTTACAAAAAAGTGGTATTTTTGGGGGAAAGCGATTATTCAGTGATTTGCAACTTTCATTCACCAAAATTTATCTAGCAAATTATTTATCAGAATTGATAATTAACTTGTTCTTATTAAAAATACCAGCAGATCCTAAACATTGTTCTGCAGAACCCTAGAAGAATGAAAGAGATCCAAGTGATAGGAATTTAAGCAGTCTAAAAATAAAAAACATTTTTAACACCTGCTATCATATTTAGGCCCAACAATAATCGATTACTTAATATTGCAGATGCTTTTTTTCAATTATTTAAAGTTTAATGCCAATAAAAAAGAAAAGACATTTTTAAAAATAATTTTTCTAATAATATATTAAATTGAAAATCCTACGCATCTGTAAAAAATTGTAGTATTATTTCCCATTGCGCTTTTCAAATTATAATGAAATAACTGGATTCACTAATAAAAAGACCCATCCTTGAGACACTTTTTTTTTATAAACATTTATAGCAGTTCCTTTTGTTTTCATTTCAATAAAAAACACAATTTGGACTTATTTTCTTAGTTTTTACTAAGAAAAAAATTCATAGCTAGACAAAATGCAGCTCCAAGACCATGAATTCAACTGTCTGACATAATACCTGATTGAAGATTATTATGAAGAAGATAAATGATGAAAAAATTTTCATGCCTCTTGGAAAATCTTTAAGAGTTTAATTTCATATTTTTTTATTGGTAAATACATTCACAGATGTTTTTATAAACTTTATTTAAAAATGTTCAGGTACCGCCGAGAGATGGTTGATCTTTTAGGGTTCCGTATTATTAAAAAAAATCAGGAACCGCTGGAATATACAGTTGTGTAGAGAAAAAAAAGTAAGAATTGTGACACAGGAAAACAAGAGACTCACAGAAATATGCTTAATTTCTTTTTATTTTTAAGAAAATTCATTAATAATTATTTGCAGGCAGCAAAGATCATATCATTGATATATAACATTATGAACATCAGTACTGATTTAATCTGTAATGATTATGCTGCACAGTACTGCTCTCTAAATTTTAATACAATTATTTTATAATTCCTTTTTTTTTTGTAAAGATTTTCTGTAAAATGGATTGAGTTAACTCTCAAAATAAAAGTAAAATTTAAAGAAAATTAAATATTACTTGATTTAGTATATACTAAGGCTAGTTGGTTTAAATTAGATATTTTAATTTTTTTAATTACAAAGTCATACAAACATTATGTTTTAAATTATTTTAATATTTTCAAAATGCTTTTTTTACATGAAGATATTTTAACAAAAAATATTTAAAATTCATTTGTCTTTCTATTTTATATTTAATCTAATGCTACATAGTGTTTTTAGGAGGTTGTCATACCATGGGAGTAACTTTTCATCACAAATTTTGTTTCAATTCCATAACTAGACTTGAAAAATAACTACTCACCACTGTGAGAAGTCAAAAAAAAAAAAAAAGAGAGAGAGAGAGGAAACTTAAATAAAAAAAACTAGTACCTTTTTCCAATCGTTATATGCATATAGTATACATATAACCATTTAATGATCTAAAAACATCAATATTGAGACTCAAGATAACAGAATTTTCAATTCAATGTCTCCATTATGACTTGTACAGTAGTCTGTCAAGCTTTTTCTGAGCGGTACCTATTTTGTGAAAATTTAGACATAATTTTTGAAAATTAAAAATTATATTAAAAAATCAACACAAAATTATGATAAAAATATGGATTTAGCATTTCTTACGAGACACATAATAAAATTTTAAGAAAAAGTACTTTGTGAAACTACTGTTTTTTACTGAAGTGGAATTTGTGAAGGTACCGCTAAACGGTAGTAAATTTGGCTTGGACAGATCCCTGTTGCTGGAAACTTAAATTTTACTGATGGATCAAAATCCTTCAGTATCCATCATTTTGGCTTGGAAAGATTCATGTGGAAGGAGAGTTCCATCACAATTCCCATATTTCAAAGTTGTAAGGAATAGATTAAATGTATTTTGCCTCTCCAAATATTTAAAAAAAAAGTTCTTTTAAGTTAGTATGTTCAACTAATTTTTCACATATTTATATTTTTATTATTAAATTAACTTTTTATGGTCATATTATCTCTAATATGAATCTTTTGTAAAAATATATTTTAAACTAAGTAAAAAATGTCTAAATGAAAAGGACCTATTGCTATCAATCACAGAAAGAAAAAAAACGGGGGAAACAAATCTTAGAATTTTCTTTTTCCACAACATAATTTTGTTTAAAGTTTCCTTAAGCAAAGCAACCCCTCATTAAAAACAATCATCCTTCCAACACAAACACTAGATGGCGTGATCAAAACCTTGATTAACACATACTTTTAAACTAAATACTTAAGGTAGTTAAGTACTTTACTTACTTCCTGCCAATTCCAACACCATAATTCTCACACCCTTCTGTCCATGCTGTCAGTATATTGGCTCCTGTAATGTCCTTTTCAATGGATTTACTAAATCAAAATAAAACATTCACATTATAAATTTAAAGTTATAAATATTCATAAAAAAATAAGTTTTATAAATAGTTATTGGAAAATGGGTGATAAACCAAATTTAATATGAATTGTATATTGTGAGAGAATATACATACTAACTGAAATGCTAAGTAGAAAACATAAGTTAGTTACTCTAAGTTAAGTCACGATTAGAGCAAATGAACACATAAAGAATAAGTGTTAAAATTTATAAGTATTGTTCATTGGTTTAAGTCTCAACTTAAATAAAAAATTTTTAGAGAAATCAGCAATTTCAATTTTCATGAAGCATTCAAATACAAGTTTTTCCAAATATCCACTGATATTCATAGCTTTAAAATTTTTGTTAATATATTGCTGTGTTAATAAAGCAAAATTGCATTAATACTCGGATGGCAATAAATTATAGCATTTTCTAAATAACAGTTTAATAGAAAAAAAATTTGGTAAAAATTTTTTAGAACTACGAACAATGTAAAAATATGTTGTTTTTTTCCATCCTTCATTTACGTCTTCATTACAAAAAGCGGTATTATTTAAAAGAGAATGGATTTATTTTGCAAAAAGCATTTCAACTAATTCCTATAAAATACAATCCTTATACACCATATTTTCATTATAATATAGGAATGTCACCTTTTTAAGTGAAAATACAGCAGGTAGATTAACCAAGAGCCACACATGTATTTGCTCATGTAGACAGCATATATGTTAATTTTTATGTTCTACGAGTTGTTATCAGTAAATTCAGTGTAATCAGTAAACTTGATATGTTTTCAGAAAAACAAATACTTTTAATTGTTAGACACAAAATAAAGAGCATGAAGAAGTGGTTATTATAACTAAAAACACAATTCAAGAGTCTGAATATCATATTAAATGTAATCAGGATTTTAATAACCACATGGCGATAGTAGTTTTAACGGTTTAAAAGCTGTCAAAATCCCATTTGAACAAAGTTGGGGTTTTGGACGTCCTAAACTGGTTTTGGACAGGACACATGGGTAAAACTGTCTTAAACTGGGTAAAACTGTCCTAAACTGGGTTAAACTGTCTTAAAGTGTCCAAAACCTTGAACTTTGGTAAAAGGTAAAAATTCTATAGGTGTAACCATTGTACACATAATAATTACAAGTATCAATAAATATTTGATATTTTTTATACAATTTACTGTAACTTATTAAAATAATATAATATAATAGGAAAAGGTTTATAATTTTTGAAGCTCCACAATTCATTGAACAACTAAAGTGAATAACTAATCCTTTAAATATAAATATGCTTTTAATACTGATAAATAATATTTTTGCATAAGGATAAATATGGCAATATTAAAAAATAATAATTTTTCTTAAAAAATACTAAATTTGTTCAAAAATTAACCTTTCATTTTTCACAATATTTTTTTAAAAAAATGTTATATTTTCTGCATCACAGGATAATAAAAAAGACATCTATTTTCTAAAAAAAATGTTTTTAAATATAAATATATTAGTTTAAATTGAAAATACAAAATAACTGAAAAATGTATTAAGACTTTTGAAGGGCATAACATCAGTTTCAGTTACTGACACTGGTGATGTATCACCACTATGCTAAAAGAATTGAACATGAATGAAATAAAAGTATTCTTGAATAGTACTATAGATAAATAAACCTGTTTATGATGAACCAAGCACTTAGTCCCTAATATTTTAACTTGTATGGCAAGGCCAAACTTCAGTTATGTACTATTGAATGAGAGGACCAATTCAACTTGATTACTGATTAATCTTCCTTTGTTTAAATTGAAGAGTCAAACAATATTAATAAAACATTATACTTTCAAAAACAAATATTCTCTGGTATATTTAATTATCAATATGTTATTAGTTCTATGTTTATTTTACCTCTTGAATATTGCTCAGATAAAATTGTGACATAATTTCAGGGTTGCAAAAAACCCACCTGCCCGATAAAACCCGCCCGGGTTTTACTGGGTAAAACCCACCCTAAAGTGGGTTTTACTGGATTTTTCTAAGATTGTTTTCTTTTTTTTTTTATCCTCTGTTATATTAAAGAGCTATTCTATTGAAATATATATGTAGTTTAGCCTAAAAAAATTAACCTATAGTGAAGAAACTAATTGTGTTGGAGAGTCACCTAACTGGCTAGATTTGACAGAATGGCCATTGATTCGCTTTCGATGCAAATAAAATATTTATCAATATTTTTTTATGATTAAAGTGTAAATAAAAAGAAATTCTGTGTTAAAATAAGTTTCAAATGTGTGATGTATGTGAGCACATATAACATTTTACATTGTGATGTCAGAAGAAACTTTTTTCACACTTTCAATTTATTTGTATTATCTATATGAGGTCAATTAATAAAATTAAACTTAATTATTAATATTAAAATAAGCTTTTTTAAAATAATGCACTTATACCTGTCCTCTCTTTTGAAAAAAAACCCAGAAAAGCCCAATAAAACCCACCCAAGTTGGGTTTTTCCACAAAAACCCGGGTTTTTTGCAACCCTGCATAATTTGATAAAAGGGTTTTGGACAGGACGGTTTAAACCAGGGTTTAAACCGTGGATTAATCCATTCTGCCCTAAACCTTGCCAACCCTGCATTTGAATTTATAAAAAATCGGAGAAAATAAGGTAAAACTAAGCGTAATCACTGAAATTAGCATAATAACACTATAAAAATATTTGCTTTTTTAAAACCATTTGAAATTCCAGAGCAATAACAATGGAAAAAGCAATTGAGAAACAACATAGATTTACTTGTGTTTAGAAGCTTTCCCTTGTTGCATATCAACAGTCAGCAGGCTACATCTGGCTCACTAGTCGCAGGCTGTGCACCACTATAATATTTCAAATATAGAGCAAAAGAAACAACATTAAAATAAATAGAAATCTAATTATAGATTAAATATAGAATAGATAGTAGAATATAGATATAGAATAGATATAGAATAAATAGAAATCTAATAAAAAGAAATCTAATTATAGATGAAAAAGCTGAAGATAAATTCAAGACGCCTTTAGTTATAGCCATTTTATTTTAAGCAACCAACTTTAAGCAATTTTTTAAAATTTCCTAATTTTCCTTTTGTTTACTTTGCAAAATAATTTTTTAAATCCCGGCTGTGAATTTATTATAAATCAATTTAAACATTTCTAATGTTAGCTATAACAAAATTTTTAAAAAATATTGATATAACAATGCTCAACAAAATTAATGATTTTTAAAATGTTTTAGTCCTTACATATTTATTAAAAATATATTTTTTTTAAATGTATTTACTTATTTAAAATTATGCAAATGCCATTGACAAATCAAGCATGTTTTTCAAAAAGATTCAAATAAAAATAGTTAGGTTAAAAATAAATATTTGAAATAATTGATAGACATTTTTTATAGACTCTAATTTGTAATATATTTTTGGTAATTCTAAATCACAAATTTGATTCATTATTAAATTGTTCAAATTATTAATTGTAAATCACAAAATTGTTCATTATTAAATACTCTGAAATTAAAATTCAAAAGTTTTGTTTACTTAATATTTCTATCAGAAAATATTATCTTAAATAAAATAAAACAGTTAATTTTTTTTTCTTTTTACAAAACGCATTTATTTTAACAATACATTTCAATAGAATAGGATAACAGCAAGCCAAAATTTTAATCCCAACTGCGAATAAATAAGTTTTAAAATAAAAAAATTATTTTAATAGAAATTATACAAACGTTACTTTAACATTATCTTCAAATGCTAAAACTATTATACTACGTGACGTAAACAATTAGAGTAATTATATATGATTTAAAAGCTAATTTCGTCAACAACAAAAATTAGGACGGTAATATAAATATTTAAGATGCAACATTTTTACAGTAAACTAAAATAAACACTTAAACAGAATCTTTCTTAAAAGAATTCAAAATATAAATAGACTGCTAAGCCTAACTTGATTGCAATTCAATGCTAATAACAACATTATAATATAGATAATAAATGCGCACGCATTATTTAAATGGAACTCAAATCAACTATTAATAATAAAGATAAAGTACATTTAAATAAAAGTGATAATAATAAATAAAATAAAGAAAACTCACCTCATTCTCATTCATATGAATCTGCCGCCGCCATGTGTGTAAACAATTGGAGTAAGGTGCAAACGAGTTTAGTCATCAAGAGAGCGCACCAGTTTTACGGATCAAAAGTTGAAAAAGTTCAGTGAAAATTCATTACTTGAAGGGAGTAAAAGAACGTTCAGTCTACTTAGTCCCAGAAAGCGCATTTTAAGAAAATTTTATTAAATTGTACATTTTTTTTTCTTATGTTATTACTAGGAATGCGCTTTTTATATTGCATATAAATATTTATGAGAAAAAACAAACAAATTAACTCAATTAACTAAATATAATCGATGAAAAATAGTTTTATTAAATAAAATTTTCAACTTTTTAATTATTTATTTTATTAAGAAACAAATTTATTATGACATTTAGTTATTTATTTAATTTATTAAAAATAAAAAAAGCATCAATTTTTTAATTTCTTTTCTTTTTTTAAACTATCTCGTATTAATTTCCGAGTTGTTTTCTGTCAGTTATTAATAATAATTATGGGTTCTATGTTCCTTGTAATAATAAATAAATATTTTAAAATAAATCTACATATTTAAAAACTCTATATAAACATATTTAATAAAATGCATATAGATAATAAATAAATATATATTTTTTTATCTAGTTATCGCAAAAATGTACTGTATTTCTTAACTTTACATTCACTAAAAAAAACAGTTTTTGATATTTGCTTTCGAAAATAATGACAGAATTGTGACAATGACAACAATTATGAAAAAAATAAATAAATAAGGACAACATTGTTCTAACAGTTTTTCTTTCTCTCTTTTTTTATGTACTTGCACATTAATTAAATGCTGGCTAATATGAAGATTTTATTACAGCTTATTGACGAAATGAAACTTTTAAAATCACAGTGATCAAACTTAACACTGGATACTGCAAAGATCTCGAAAATTAATTAAATTGAACAATAAAGAACTTTTAATAAAAATTTAAGTACTTTTACTAATTTTTTCACGAAATTTTTTTTATTTTACTGTGTGATTTGCCAGAGAAGCAAGCTACGCTCATTATGAATAGGTCTTTCGAATTTATTTTAAACGTTACATAATTCAAGGTATTGAGCATTTGATTTCTAAAGCTGTACGAGAGCTGTGGGTGATTTTAAATGGGTTTCTAAATAGTCGCGTAGCTACTTTTGGGGCACCCAGGGCAAACACCTTAGATGGAGCCAACACGAGGAGCACCCTCAATCTCTGGATACCAAATACTTTTAACAGGTAATGAAATATTTTTTTTATTGAAAAAGTATTTTGGGATCCCCTGGACATTGTCCTGTTTGCCCAACTGTTAAGACACTCCTGTTTCTTACGACACAATGGCAATTCAAACAGGCACTCATTCTTTACCGTATCTTTGGAATTGACCCCAGAGGACATTTTCATTTTGGTTAAAATAGTTTAAATGTTTAATAGTGAAAACGTGAACTGTCAAATATTATTTTCGTTATAAAGTTAACACAACAGTTATATTAACTAGTTTGAAAAGAACTAAATGGGAAATAAAAATATGATTCAGGCAGAGTCGTAGCACCAGAATTGCTCCCCGGGCTATTGGCGACCTGTTTGGGAAACATCCCAAAGGATGAGAGAGAAAGTTTTTTATTGTTTTTCATTTAGTTTTTTGGATTTTATTTTCAATTGCAAAATTCCTTAAATGGTAACTAGTTTAATAATCGAAAAAGTACAATATTCATTTTAGAGTAACTGCGGAACATATTGACACCATAGAGTTGTAATACTATCTCAACTATATGCTTGACACAGGTGGAAAATCTCAAGAACCATTCCTATTGTATAAAAAATATTTTCTTTTATGGTTTTTGGTTATGAGAGTCCCGCAGTGGACTGGTCGTTAAGACCAGGGCTAAAGAATATAAAACTATTATCGAAATGCCAGTTTGCGCGATTGCAACTTGCAAAAATTCTGATATAAAAATACAGTAAAAAAACT